TCTTGATATTCTTTGACAATTTGTCCCTTTTAATCAGGAATATCTCTTGATGCCTCAAAATGTTTGCTCTCAAATCATTCTGTTACCTATTTGCTCCCTCAAGAGTTTTATTTCCTTTCCATTCTTCATTGAACTTTCCCCCCAAAATGTCACTGTGACTTATGTATACAACTGTGACCAGTGGGAGAAGCAGTTTTCCCTTTTGGGGTTGTTTCATAGCTAACCATCTTGTGGATTTTTCTTTTAGGAACATCCTTATAGGAGCAAGGGTATTTGTTCCCTGGTCAAGGCTCTAGGGACACCCAATTTCGGGATTATAAGGGACATCTATGACATAACTTTTCAAATGTATATCCTCTCCATATACCTTTCCTTTCAAAGGACTTAGACTTTATTTTATAACACCTGTGTCAATCGCTAGACTTAATATAAGATGGAATTGCATGTTTTATCATTGGTTAAAAGAAATGGTTTTACTCACACACACAAACACACCTCACACTTAAGATAGAATTCTGATGTAAGATACATCAGCAAATTATTTATGCTAAATCTACTTTACATATCTGTAAAACAAGAAAATACAAATCTGTGACTACTGAACACACTGTAAATGTATTGTTTTCTCTCCTAACCAAACCTTCAAACCTTGATATTAAACCATCTTCTTCCCCAAGTTAGTATCTGGTCTCATGTACAACATTGATGTCACAAGTTTGTCTTCTTTAATTTTTTAATTTTTAAAAGTATTTATTACATTTTAGTGTGTGGGTGTGCAGGTGTATGTGTGTCCTTATCTGTGTGTTTATGTGTGTGTGTTCATACCACACGCCATGATGCCATGGCAGAGATAACCGAAGCCAGAAACGTGGAATCGTGTCTCAATCTTCTTTTGTCATTTGTCTTAAATTAAGGCTAATTCTGATCAACAAATTCAATAAATAAATGATAACATTTATCTGCTTGACTTGGAGATAAAATAATAAAAATAAAAAACAAATCCTCCACACTATGGAATTAGCATTTTAGTGGAGGAGACAGATCATAAGCAAACACAGAACTAACTTATCCACTCATCAAAGCAATCACTGCACAACTTAGAGCAGTTTCTCTGAGTGTTTGGGAACCTACTCAAGGTAGAGAACAAAGCAGAGATAAAAAGAAAATCTTCCCAGGGTTATATTCTAATGGTAAATAGTAGATGACCTAATAAACAAAAATTTGAATAGTGATAATTGCCAAGACAATTCATAAAGTAAAGATGAGAGATTTGTACTACCCTGTGGATATTATTGAGATGGCAGGTGACTTGAAAGAGGATGGTATCTTAAAAACTGGGACTTTTGAGTAAAGATGTGGATCATAAAGATATACACTTATAAGATTTGGGGAGAAGAATCTGCCACACAGACAAAATAACTATATGGTAGTCCTAGATCTCTTCTCCTAACATAATATTAACTAGGGAGAAAGAAGGGAGGGCCTGAGAGATATCACGTCATGTATTCTGCCATGGAAATATATGAATGGGTAACACTGTTATTACAAATAATTTCACAGCATACCTAGCAATATAATTGCAAAGGTTTTGAGTTAACTCTGAATCAGGTGAAAAGAGGTTGATTGCAGTTTTATGACAACATACCTCATGTGTTACACCCAAGAAGAAAAGCCCAAGAAACCTGGAGTGTTCCACAATATTCTGACACTTGCTGATGAGCACAACTTGCATTGCTCTGACACTGTGGATATGATGGGGTTTACTCTCATGACTAGGGTATATCAGAGAGGGCTTGAACAAAGAGAGACTTTCTATTCTACAAACTGTCTCCTCATATTATTGATGCTCCCCTTTGCTGTAAAGAAGCTAACAACAGTCAATAGATGGATGGGTGAAGTTTTTCACTCATAAGGAGGAATAAAATTATTAATTATGCAGAAAAATCAATAGATCCGGAGACCACTGGATTAAGGGAAATAAGTCAGGCTCAAAGAGACAAATATTGCATGTTTTCTTTCATATGTGGAACCTATTTTATATAAACAGAGAGACAGGGAAAAAGAGATAAAGACAGAGAGACAAACAGACAAAAAGAAATAAAACACGAAGGTACTAGGGCAACTATTTAAGAAGAGGAAGACTAACTGGAGCGGTTGAAGGGAGTGAGAGCAGTGATTGCGGGTGGATATGCTACGGGATTTACTTAAGCAAAATCATCATTATAAAACTACATTAGGGCTATCTGAGCAACAGAACCAATAGAATGAGCACATATTAAAAGAAGATTCATTACATTGTTTTGTACAATATAGTGTGGGTACTCCAATAATGATTGCCCTCATCCTGGAGAGACTGAAAGTCTGCAATTGTATAGCTCACAAAACTAGTGGGCCTCAGCAACCCCAGTTATTGTTGAAGACCTGGAAGATTCCTACAGAGCTACCTGTCTTTGGTCCACATGGGAAGCCTGGGTTCTGATATCAGGAAAGGAATGTAGCAGCAGCAGAAGCCACAACAAAGAAGACCAGCAAACACGGGGGACAAACTTGCAAACAGGAAATGAACTCACAAACAGGATAAATAACTCATTCAGGATAGATGAGACAATAAAGTAAAAAGCACAGATTTCTTCAACCCCACCTGGCATGGAACTTGCTATGTAGACCAGGCTGGACATGATCTCACAGAGATCCACCTGTCTCTGTCTCCTGAGTGCTGGGATTAAAGGCATGCACCACTACATCTGGCTGTTATCATTATTTTGGATAATGACTATAACCCATGAACTTGGAAGTCTTCTCTTAATAGTAAAGCTGAAATTTCCAATGTTGAGATTCTGAATAGATTTCCATGGAGGATGCTGAGCAACTGCATCTCCGGTTGAGAAATTTGCATTCGCTTTTCGTATAGTGAGTCCATTTAGTGGTGTTCATTGTGCATGTGCTTACCTAAGGTAGGCCACTTGGGATTAGATTACTTATCAGGGAGCTAATTCCTGGAAAAATATGATTTTCTCTCCCTAAGTATCCATTGATAGCCTTTAGCTCTTTATTTAGAAGTGAGATCATCTGTATATTCCCCAATCCACATTGGCATGTCAACTGGTTCTCTCATAATATGGATCTTGTTAGACTACCATGGCATGGAGATTTCACAAGTACAGCTCCCCTATAATATCTAGAATGCATTACACAGAAGCAGGTCCCTGTTCCTCTGCATATTTATGTCTTTCTGACCCCTCTTCCACAATGTTCCCTGAAACCTAGGTATAAAGATTGCATTATAGATCTATCAGTTTCAGATGGGCATTCATCAGTCACTTAGTCTCTGCATTTGACCCCTCATGGAACTTCATAAGAGTCTTCATCTGTTGAAAAACATGCTTCTTTGATGAGTGATCTATGAATAGAACAATATGTATTTATCTACTGTATTGATGTCTGCTCCTGTCATTTTTTTGGCCAGTAGTTGTGAGTACTCAATACTGAAGTTTTTAGCATCATCGGTGGAAAATTTTCTTCTCTTGTCATGAACATCCTATTCCTTGATGGAAATGAGGTATGATATCTTTTAGGGTCTCTTTTCCTCTTTTGGTACAGAGTCTACAGGTTTCTATCTTTGATTAGATTGACTTATTGAATCCAGTAATCAAGATACCATAGCCATGAATTAATTGTAAGTTGGTCAAATGTGGATCTAATGTGATGAGATTCCGTGTTTGATTAGAGCTGTCTTTTAAAATCTGTCATTCATTTTAAGAACTTTTGAAGAACTTTCTTCCTGACAACCAGAATAAAATTCCTCAGAGACTATAATAGCACTCTCTAAGTCTCCATGTATATAGAATCTTATCATAATGAAGTAAGTATTTACAAGTAAAAGTTGAATAAAAGCGAGAGAGGTCGAAGGTGCCAAGTATAGATAAAAACAATGAAGGAATGAATGGAAGTAGTGACTGTACTTTTGTAACCCAGGAATGACTGCAAAACTCATGTATACCATAACCTTGAAATGAATCCTAAACAGAATTACATAAACACAATTAGGCTAATCATCAAGAAAGCAAAATTAATCATGGCAACAGAAAGTCGTTTTAAGACTTTCTAGGGAACAAGATAACAGAATGGCAAACCCTTCCAGGTGCCGTCTTGGGGACATTGGAAGCTCCCCGTATAAATGCTGTCGTAGTTCTCAACTCTGGAAATAACAGCTACCTAAACATGTTTCTGAAGGCAAACTGAGCTCCTTCAGTTGTCATTTAGTGAGGGCTGAAAGACAGCCACAGAAGAAATCCATTAAGAACATGGCTTGCACCAACACATAGAGCTGTTTCCCACTTATAATCAAACAGACAAACAAACAAATAACAGCAGGACTTCAAAGACACAGTATGAAACAGTGCAATAATATGTCATAACAACCCCACTGTGAAGATATGAAACTGGTTAACGTTGCTGCAGGTGCATTGGTACGCTCTTAATTTAGTGTGAAGATAATTGCTGGCCATGCTTGCTCTCATCTTGGTCAGACAGGATTGTAAATAGATGATCTTTAAAGACCATCATAAATCATTTAGGCAGATTTCAGGCAGGAGTGTACACACACACACACACACACACACACACACACACACACATACAAACAATGCTCCCACATGGGAAAATCCAATGTATGAGAGGGTAGAAATGATAACTAGGACATATTGAAAATGCCAGGCAAAGTAATTTTAATGTAAAGTGGATTTTCCTGTTTTCCACATGAATAATAGAAATATTTATCCCAAAGGAGAATTATTGATCAAAACCTAAATCCCCCGCCCCAAAACTTAAAACTGTAAGTAAGTCCTAGTGGTTTTTATTAAGTCAACACTGGCATCCTGGAATCTGAAGCTATCTCACAGTAGCCACAGAGTGGAAAACATTATTTCATCTGAGAGAGGCACAAATGAAGAATAAGCCACAGGAAAATGAACTTTGTCCTTGGTCTCCAGTTGGATTTCTCAGTAGAAGCCAGATGACCAGTATCTTCCATAGTAACATGGCCTATAGTAGCCATATCCATAGCCACCATAGCCACCATAGCCAGAGCCATAGCCACAGCCTAGGCCTCGAAAGGAGCCACAGCCATAGCCTAGGCCTCCAAAGCCATAGCCCAGACCTCCATAGTAGTTGCCATAGTAAGAGCTCATGGTGTGAAGAGTGGAAGACTTACTTGACAGCAAAGTGGTTGATGTGAATGTGAACTTCTTTGCTCCAACAGAGCCTTTTATATACCTCCTGTAGTGGGTGTGACAAACCACAAGCAAACACAACCTTACATTTCATGCGCTAATATGCATGAAAACTATCTCATAAATATGTTGTCCAATTGGAGGAGCAGCCTTCTTACCCATTAATTTGAAGTCTTCTTCACAGCAGTCTCTAAATTCTTTTAGCTATGTCCTATGCCTTTAATAATATTTAAAGGATATTTACTGTCATGTTTTATCTTCATAACCAAGCTTCACGAGTTTGCATAGCATGGAAGCTTCACATATTATTGAAGCTTGTCTTAAACTAATAGATTCTCCTCTCTGAAGACTTAAAGTAAAAATTTCAGCTTTGGGCAGGATTTAGAGGACTGATTATATCATTAGTAACACTACATCATTTTTTTTTTGCTTATTTCCTGTCACCATATGCATGCTGGGTTTGTTTTCATTTTTTGTTTGACAGGATCAACCTTAAATTTCATGACAATGTTTTAGCCCAGTGTTTTAGCCCAATGTATTTTATGGGGTTTTTTAGTGATTGGGTTTACATGAATCTAAATATCTTAAGCATATCTAAGGTTTATTTGTTAGTTAAAAAATTATCATGTGTATAGTTTTATGTGAATGCCTATACATGCTTTCTTTAGCATAGCAGGTACTAATAGTGAAATACATATTGAAATGTATTTTTAATATATTAATCTTTAATATGTCTATCATGTTAATCACTCTTCATACATTTATTGACTTCCCAGTTTATTGTTAGATATATCTAAGTTCCAGCAAAGGTACATAAAAGGACATTAATCTAACACTGCTGCAATCCTGAGAAACACCAGAAGTGCAATGACATTTTAAATTCTAGAGAGTATGTGTGAAAATAATAAACAATGGTACGTTATCATGGAGACCCTACCTGGCAAAAAAGTCCAAAAAATACTTTTTTCAGTTTCATATTTTGTTTCTTCATGGCCACATACACAATCGATTGCAAGGTAATTTCATTAATAAAATGTTTAATCTCATACTAATTAATTCTTATGCTATGAGACATGATAGGTCAAAAGCTGGGCATGGTAGCAGATGCTTTCAATCCCAGTTCTAGGGAGACAGACCCAGGCTGATCTCAGTGAGATCCGAGCCAGTCTGGTTTACATATCCATTTCCCAGTCAGTTGGGGCTACAGGGAGACCTCACCTCAAAAGCAAAGAAATAAAGTAATAAGCAAACAAAAAGTATGGCAGGAAAACTCTTACCCAAGAAAGCAATATGATATATATGGAAAGCAATTGTTAAAGAAAAAAAAATAAATTTCTATGGACATAGATTATAAATATCTGGTATTAAATATCTAGATCGTTTTCTTAATGTAATTTAATTTTGAACCTAATACTGTAGGAAAACAAGACCATTCTTTACATTTGTGGTATCCAAGATGATCACTTTGGTTCAGGAAAACGTTTTTATTCTTTCTCTCATAGGATTTACCATCAATGTATAAACCATGTATATATTTTACTAATAAATATTGAAGAAGGTGGGGATTTTGACAATACCACTGTTACTGATCCCCTTTGTGTAAAAAAAAGTCACAACACATAGAAATGACAGAATACAGAAGCTAAAATAATGAAAAGTGTGTATCATAAAACCAATAGAAAACTGTGGTCCCTGTTTGTAGGAGACTGAGGCTACCAGATTGTGAGTTTGTGAACTGCCTGACCTTCATAGCAAGACTGTGCAAAAAGAAAGGAAAAGAGGGAGAGAGGAAGGGAAAGAGGGAGAGAGGGAAGGCTGGGGGGTGGGGTAAAAAAGATAAAATAATAAGTGAAAGAGAAGAGAAAGGTAAAATGCAAAGAATAAAATGAAAATAAGGCCTGGAGAACTTGTAACAATTTTTGAAAACGTAAAAAAAATTCATTTCTTTTCCAACTTGACCCGGGTTGGAATGGCTCCCGCAAAGGAGGGTGGCTAGAAGGCGGACCAGGCCTCTCCACCGTCAAAGAAGTGGTGACCCAGAAACACACCTTCAGCATTCACAACGCATCCACGGAGTGGCCTTCAAACGTGCCCCTCGGGCACTCAAAGAATCTGGAAATTCGACATGAAGGACATGGGTACTCCAGATGTGCACATTGATACTAGGCTCAACAAATATATTTGCACCAAAAGGAGTAAGGAATGTTCTGATCCGTGTCCATGTTTGTTTGTCCAGAAAACGTAATGAAGATGAGAATTCGCCAAACAAGCTGTATAGTTTTTAACTCATGTCCCTGTTACCACATTCAAAAATCTAGACAGTCAATGTGGATGAGAACTAACTGCTGAGAGTTAAATAAAGTTATAAAATTGCAAAACAAAATAAAACAAAACAACAATAACAACAACAAAAATTCACTACAAGTGAGGTTAACAAAAGTAAATAATTAAACAGGTAAGTATAAAGTGAACATTATCAGATTAAATGCTTTCATGCTGTGCTAACAAATCATTTAGAAAATACAACTGAATAGTATATCATTTTGACTTAATGTCAAATGGAACAGGAAAAGATGTGTATGGCATTGGTGAAGAAACAATAGAAAACTTGAATGAATGAATGAATGAATGAATGAATGAATGAATGAATGAATGGTTTAGGTTATCTATTAAACTGTATCAGATGATAAAATATAGAAAAGATGGTAATCCTGTTTTCATTCATAAATGTAACAAGATTCTAATTGTTATCATGGTGCAATTTTATTGATAATTTATAAAATCTTCACAGTATTTTTTAAAGAAATCAATTGGGGCTGGAGAGATGACTCAGCGGTTAAGAGTTCTTGCTGTTCTTACAGAGGACCTGGATTTGGTTCCCAGCTCCCACACAATAGCTCTCAAACACCTGTAACTTCAACACTCTTTTCTGACCTCCATGGGCATTGCATGCCCATGAAACACAAGCATATATGCGAAGCAATCATACAGATAAAAAAGTACATAAATAAATACAATTTTTAAAAATTTATTTCCTTCTTGAGATATTAAAACAGTAAGAAACCAGCAAATACTAGCAGTAACTTTGCGTAGGAAGCCAAGAAATATTTGTTGGACTTATGTTTGTTTGATTCTCTACTTAAAATAGATTTATTTATTTTTAACTGAAGTTTTGCAAATTTCATACAATAAATTTTGATCATAGGAAACTGGTGGATGTTGCAACAGGGAGAATCAGTCTAGTTTTAGGGTGAGACTCTCGGTAGACTGACCAAGCTCCAGTGACTAGACCCTCACCAAAGGGCATTTGAAGACACA